ATTTAAAGAAGGTTGTCCATCTTGAATAAGAAAATCCCCAACAACTCCGCTGCAACATTGAATCCATATCTCCCTAAAGTCATCATCATCTGCATAAAGATCCTTCATAAACTCGAACCCGGTAATAGTAGTTGTCATGATAGTTAATAGAGTCGACTTTCTACTCAAAGCATATGTCACTCTGTTCTGATTGCCTGGCTTATGCCAAATAACAAAGTGAACTCCTGCAAATTGGCTACCCATCGAGCATGTCGCTGATTTAATTTATGTTGCCCATTAATATACTTCAATGCTTCATGATCTGAGAACAAAATAAATTCCCACTTAATCAGGAAATACTGCTAATACCTTAAGGCTTGAATAATAGCATAAAACTTTACATCATAAATATAATAGCATCGACGGGTGTCATTCAACTTCTCACTGAAGAAGGCAATAGGGCGACCTTCTTGGCTCAACATTGCACCAATTCTAACATGTTATTTCATAATCCAACTCAAAGACTTTATCAAAGTCTGGAAGAGCTAACATGGGTGCTTCCGTCATCTTCTGCTTCACCAAATGAAAGTTTTTTTCAGCTTCAACAGTCCATATGAATCCCACAATATATGATAGGTGCTATGATCGATATAAAGCCTCTAATATCTCATGTAGAAAGTAGCCAACCCATGAAAACTGCGAACATCATGCATTGTAGTAGGAGTAGCCCAATCCTCGATAACTGCTACCTTCCTTTGGTCAACCTTAATTCCCTCAACAGAAAGAACATAGCCAAGAAAGATGAGGCTATCTGTCATGAATTCACACTTTTTACAATCCAAATATAATTGTTGTTCTCGTAGCAAATCAAACACCAACCGTAAGTGCTCCATATGCACCTGCTCACTGATGGTGTACACTATAATATCACCAAAGTATACCATCACTAATTTTCCAATAGAAGTCTTGAACACTTGATTCATCACCCTCATAAAAGTACTGGGCGCACTAGAGAGGACAAATGGCATCACCAACCACTCATAAAAGTCCTCTCGTGTTTTGAATGCAGTCTTCCACTCATCACCAGATCGAATATGGATCTATTCTTACCCACTCCTCAAATCTATCTTTGAAAACACAGTAGCACCAGCTAACATATCTAACATATCGTCTAGGCCTGGAATTGGGAAGCGGTACTTGATTGTGATCTTGTTAATGGCCCTACTATCCACACACATGTGCCAAGTCTCATCCTTTTTAAGTGTTAACGAGGCCGGAATAGCACAATGGCTCATGCTCTCTCGTTTGAACCCTTACGTAGAAGTTCTGTAATCTATCTCTACAACTCATCATGCTCCTTGGGCTCATTCTATATGCAACCTTGTTCGGTAGGCTAGACCTAGGAACGAGGTCTATGTGATGTTGGATGTCCGTCATGGGTGGTAAACCCTTTGGTAGCTCATCTGGAATGACAGCACTGAAGTCCCTCATTAAGGGCTCTAATTGTGGGGCAACTGAACTACTAGGCTGCTCCTCCACTTGGACCACTGCAAATACCATCTTCGACTCATCTAATCCCTCCATAAACTCAGCCAAAGAAAGAAGGCTAGCACACCCCCCATCTGATTTGGTTGCATTTTCCTTCTTAGATGGACCTAAAACCACTTTAATCCCATCTTTGACAAAGGAATAAGTATTTTTAAATCCATCATTTATGATATGTCTATCATACTGCCATGGTCTACCCAATAATAAATAACATACATCTATAGGCACAACATTGCCTCACACCTGGTCTTTATCATGCTTTCCAATAAAAAAAGAAACTAGACAACTCTTAGAAATTGCTACCTCATTTCTCTTTTTTAACTAAGCTATCTTATATGGTTTTGTATGACTCTCTGTCTTCAACTACAGCTTGTCCACCATCTCTTGAGAAACAATATTTTGCAGCGGCCCTATCAATGATAAGATTGCAAACCTTCCCGTAGGCCATGCATCGAGTGTGGAAAATATTAGTGCGCAACCAATCTGCCTCATTTACTACCTTGGGTGTTACCATGCTACACTGGATCACCAAAGCCTCCCCATGGTCACTAAAGGTTACTTCAAGCTCTTCTCCCTTAGGTTCTTCATCAAAAATAGGGTCCCCATCAAAAGATAGTTTGTTGTCCTCATCGAAAACCTCCTCAACAAGGGCACAAGTTTTATATTTGGGTGCTAAGAAGAGACATGGCCAATCCCCCAACACTTAAAAGCATTTTATAGTGATGTTGTTTGCTCCAAAATTGACTGACTAGCAGGCCATGAGGATTGTTCACCCACAAAATTTCCATCTTTTATCCTAAATTCGCTTCCACAACAGTTTGAGATACCTTGGCTTGCAGCCCACCTTGATGATGGACGCCTCAATTAAGCTGTAACCTTAACTATGAGGTTGTAAGCCTCATCTAAGGTCCAATACCATTGTAAAACCACCACATCTTGTGTAGGAGATCTTAGCCCACCAGCATATCAAGTTAAAGGACTGTTCTTCTCGTTCAACCACATCACTGCGAGCCATCAACTCAAAAAATTCATCGGTATACTCCTCTATACTATTTTTACCTTGATGAAGATTATTTATCTTGTGATAGAGAGATTGCAAATAATTTTCAAGTACATATTTTTCTTTTAATTTCTTTTTCATCTTCTCCCATGTAGTAATTTTGGGCTTTCTCTTCCTCTCTCTTCTAACCTTAAGTTATTCCCACCATGCTGAGGCACCTTTGTTTAATTTTATAGCAATAATTTTTGCCTTTTTATTTTTAGGTACCGCCTTATAATAAAAAACCCTTTCTGCTGTATTTAACCAATCTATAAACTCCTCAAGTTAAAGCCTACCGTCAAAATCAGGTACATCCACCTTCAAATCAACATCCCTAGAGTGATGCACCCCACATCTAGGTCTCCGGTCGCTATCCTCGTCACTTGACTCGACACGCGGAGCGCAATGGTGAACATGGTTGTATTCGAGATCCTCTTGGGCTAAAAGATCACCGTCTTGCCCATTTTTTAAGGTCTCGAATTGTTGTGTCAGCTGTTGAACTTGTCTTTCAAGTTCCTAAATTCTCTCATCTCTAGGGTCATAGAGCAGATCCATGAAAATCCCCCTCCTACGGCCCTTTCTTGCTGCCATGGGGTCACCGAAATCACAAACCCTAGACAAATAATTAATAAAAAATTGCTCAAATCAACAAGATATATGTTGTTTTAGCAAAACATTAGCCAGAATCACCAAACCCTAGACCACCACTATTATTTCCCCTCTTTGTTGTTGACCTAAGGCACCGAAAGAAAGTAGTCCTATAGTAACCTCCATGTTGTTATAATAACTTTTGTGGATCGCAAGCTCTAATATCACTTGATATAAGAGAACTTGAAGAAACAAAAAAAAATCAGCAAGAAGCACACAATTTTGGAGTAAACCATGGAGAAACCCTAGGGTTTACTCTCACCTAGGGCTAAATCCTTAAGCTTCTTTTACAAGACAAAGTCTTTCTTTTCTTAAAGAAGAATACATGAATGATTCTCCAGCCTATATATGCTCTTATTTATACTGAAAAATAATTGTTTTAGACAATATTTATGTATACAATTTAACTTTTGACCAAAAGGTCATAACTTAAATATAACTTGAAACTAAACTCCCCAACTTGAATTAAAATAGCTAAAAAGTCTTTAACTGGTCCAGCAATGAAATAAATAAATAACATTTGAAATAACATTAAAAAACTAAAAAAAAAAAAGCACCAAAACTATTTCTTGCTCATATTGTTCTTCTTGGAAGCCCTCAGATGGTTTTAATCCTCCAAATATGAGAAAAAATTAAGAAGAATATGTCGCTCACATAGAAAATACTCATGGCCACTTGTACTCTAATATCCATTAGCTGCTTCCAAAAAGAACAAGAAGAACAAGAAATAGTTTTTGTGTTTTTTTTTAGTTTTTTAAGGCTATTTGAAATGTTATTTATTTATTTATTTCATTACTTGACCAGTTAGATCTTTTTTAGACATTTTAATTAAAGTTATAGAATTTAATTTCAAATTATATTTAAATTATGATCTTTTGATCAAAAATTAAATTGTATGGACAAATATTATCTAAAACAATTCTTTTTCAATATAAATAAGAACATAGTTGGGCTGAAAAATCATTAATGTATTCCTCCTTAATAAATGAAAGACTTCTTCATGTAAAAGAAGCATAAAGATTTAGCTCAAAGTGAGAGTAAACCCTAGGGTTTTTCCAAAATTGTTTACTTCTTGCTTATGTTTCTTGATTTCTTCAAGTTCTCCTACATCAAAAACCCTCCTAAGGTTTTCATCCTCCAAATAGGAAGAATTCGTTGCTTTTGTTGCTCCTATAGAAGATAATCGTGGCTACTTGTGCTCTGATCTCTCGAGTCTAAATCCAGTTGACTTGTACACAACCTGAACCCGACCCGATCCATTCCCACCCCCTAATAACAATCTTAGGTGGCCTCAAAGTCACGCCCTTGATCAGCAACCCATTTTCTTATCCATCTAACAGTAGATTGCAACCAACCCTTCTCTCTCACTAACAAGAAGCTGCAACGGGATTGGACACCTCCCTCTACGTTGATGTACAACACAGTTTTTCATCGTGATTGAATGCTAGCTCCAACTGCTCATATACATATAAGCTGCTATTTTAATACAAGTTCATTCCTAAAATACATTTGCTCATTCATTGGACAAAGGTAAATTGCTCACAATATTGGTGAAATTCCTCAATACTTTATTAAAAGCGATTGATTTGTTTATTCAAAAAAGCACATTGACAACAGTATGCTCATCTACGACAACTTGATTGGGACTTTAAAAGTATATTGAGTTTGATGTTGTGATCAGGGCAAAAGCTTTAGTAATTTGCCGAGGTTTTGCCCCCACCTTCTCCCATCATCAATAAGTCAGCATAAGCAAAATAATCAACATAGGGACAACTCCACACAAACATTACCGATCATGGATCAATTCAGCAGGCCTGAGCATTGTATTAAGCACAAAGAAATAATTTAGACACAAATGAAACGCAAAGGAAGATACCCTTCACAACTAAACCTCCTGCTCTAAGCTTGTTGACATTTTCATGCTTATAGCTGAGAAGTCAAGGTGATTCACTTCCACCTATTATACTATCACGAGGTTGCATCTTTTACAAAAAAAAAGCAAATGACACACACACCCAACCATGACCTTTTGTAAACAAAGATTAAACACCCTAAGCAGTAAGATGGAAAAATCGAAGAGCTGGGATGTGTAATTTCCCAGCACAAGGTCTGAAGAAAATTTTCTCAAAACTTCAAGTGTTGTCAGTGGTACACTCTTAGCCGCCTGATTTCACTTCTAGCGGGTAAAAGGGATTATGACCTTTTGTATTAAACCAATATATATATATATATATATAGTCTAAAGTGGTAACACTAAACATACAACTGAGGATATAGGGATATTCAGTCATGATGAAGAGTTTGTTGCTAGCTTCAGCTTCTTGGGTGGTGGGTTCCCTCCCGAAAGCATCACGTAGGAATAGAAACACAGCATTGCAGCACTGCCATTGGTCATTGAACATAATCCATTAGTTCTCATTAAGGTAGGAAGTTAATTCAAACATTTGAAAGGAATTTTCAATACCTCAAAGCAATGAAGAAACCATTGGGGAGAAGTTTCCTTGTCTGCAGTACACCATAAATTTAAAATCAGAATTTCAGGCCAGAACTCGGTTTTAAGAGACCAGAAAGAGAATGTGATGAGTTCCCTACCAATGAGTATAGTTGAAATTGCTTCACCAGATAGGCTGCGGTGAAAGCTGCAAAATCAAGAAAAAGAACAAATTAATATTTGTTATAGTTTGGGAGTTTTTGCAGGATCTAGGGATAGAACAAGTTACAATAATGCCGAAAAGGAAAGCTCTTCTTGCAACAATACGAGGACCAAAACATGTCATACTTCTAATTGACTATGTATCTTTTGATATGACATGACATAGCATTTCCAGTGCACAATTCTGGATAACCTCCCAAGAAGCCACACAGCTAGAAACAACTCCATCTCATGAGTATGCATGTGAAATGCAACTAATACATGAAACATGCACTATTGACTACTTTAGATTAAATGTTGTCCCCAGTGATTAGAGTTGTCCTGAGATCATTAAGCATTGCCACAATTATTCTTATTTTATTTTCTTTTGGAGGCCAAAATATTGCTTTCTTAGTGATGACATTTCAAGATCAGAACACAATTCAAAACTATTTCTAAATAAGATAAAAAATAATAAAGGATTTTGATGCTCGTGTTCGCTTTCAAATTTGATCTAGAGTAAAAATGTCACCCCTTTTTCAAACTGAAAATTTACGTTTTGATGATACAGGTTCACAAAATGGAATCTGCAGAAGAAAAGCGGGGGCTCTTCCATAATGGCATTAGTGGAGAATGTTCCCAAGAAGCTGGGAATGTGTTGGCTAGAGAATGGGAACGAGCTCCAGCTCCCAAACTGCACAATCATGCTACAGGAGCAGGAAGTGCAACCTTAGAAGAAAGATCCCAGTAAGTATGATCTGCCCCACCTACACCCAGACAGCCTGCAAGGTAGCCTTGTTACCACCTAGAGCTTTGAAATATACCAACACTCGTTCTGAAGATGAGCCACAAAATCAACTGGACTTTATTTGTATGCACCCATAAATAACCAAGAGTAGAACATATGGAAAAAAGTAATATTATTATAAAGAATGAAACAGACATTGTTTTAAAATCATATGGTTAATTACTTATGTGCGTAATGAATCTCATTTCATATTATGACTTCAAGGAAAGATAATGACATATAAAAGAAGGCTAAGTTGTTGCCACTAACAATAAATCACTAAGTTTCTTTAGCATGTTAAAACCTAAGACCTAACAACACATTAGGTTGTACACAACAAACTAAACAAGATCGATAGAAAAGAAAAAAGAAAGAGCAAAGAATGGTTTAGAAAGTAGTTCATATGGTTCATCCATCACATGAGCATCTCTAGCCTTCTTGACCACCTACATAACATGTTACCCTGTTGTTTCTAACTAGCAAAGTTACAGTGCGGTTTTCAATAACATCTGCAGTTGCTCCAGCAGATGGCATCTCAAATTGGAAATTGGTCCAAATCAATTCCAAGCGATGGCATACTTTGCAGATGCATTTGGTTGCAAAATGATTACCATACGCGTTATTGCATGGTCCCACTTTATGGTCATGTGGTCAGTATCTTGAGGATAGACCACAATAGGGCGGCCCATCAAACATGTCCTACAATTAACAGATTCAAACAATCCCCTGACCAAACCAAAAGTAAATAGAGAGTGAGTCCATGAGCTGCATTAAAACCATTTTTTTAATATGATTTGGAGCACGACATGATATGAGTTCCATGGACTTCTGTAAATTCCCTTTTCATTCTCCCATTGATTACAGATAGTAGAATTCATCCACAGTACATATTTCAATTGATGGCAAAAAAAAAAGATAAAACTGTTGAATTAACTCTACATTAGAATATACCAACTCAAAAATCTCAAACAAAACCGAAAATTCATTAAGAAAGATCCATACCTGTTTGTCCCACCATAAAAGGAATGCTAGATTTTCCTTGCTTCCACACTTTTAAGCTGTAGTAGCTGAGAGCCAGCAGAGCACCCCCAAAAAGTATGCCAGACATAAGGTTGGTAATGTTCCTTGAGAAAATAAACCCAACAAGCCCACCACTTAAAACTATCCCACCTGCAATAAGAAATTCCAACAGTCACGTATAATAGCATATAGTGTTCATCAGCATTGGGACACTGCAATAAATTAAACAACAATGCATTGTGAATATCACAAAATATGGAGAGTCCCTCACAAATATAGTGCTTGCAGATTTTGTTTTTCATTTTAACTTCTTGACATTGGGCTCATAGATCATGTTGATAAATACCATTATTTCCATGAAACAACAAAAGCTGACAATTTCAAATGATACCCTTAGGTATTATAAGATATGCAGCAACCAAATAGAAGAACGATAGGGAATCTTATTTTGAAATATTTTTTTTGTAAACTATTTTAATGGGTTCTCACCCAGCGGTCCCTAACTAGTGAGCTTCAGGCATGAAATGATCTGCCTCTCCCGATCCTGCTCCTCCTCCAAAAGTGATGGGGAAGATTTCTGCTGGCGTGTCTCTATGCAATATGCCTGTTGGACTGCAGAGGTCCCTTTGTATTACATTGGTTATCACAAACTGTAGTTGTGGTCTAGCAGTATTCGTGGTGGTGTTGTAGGTTGGAACACATCTAATTTGTACATCATATCAATATTGTATTTTATGACTTTAGGTATATTAAGGAAAAGGGAGAGGTAAATCAATCTTTCTTATCATGCCATTCTAGATGAAAGCTTTAGACACATTGTCGTCTTTATGGTAGACAAGACAGTATTCTATTTCCTGGCCGTAGAATATTCGCTATAACTCAAACATGTGTCTCCCTTAAGTAAGGTGCAAAATGCTGAAGAGTCAGACACTGATGACCTTGTAACAGCATGGATTTTCAACTCACTCACCAAGGGCAAGGGGAGGATTTATTGCCCCCTACCCAAAAACAAAAGAAAGAAAATATCTCTATATATATATGTAATGGCTATGGATCACAATCCCATGTTAAATGGGATCAATATCTTATGCTTTGTGTGGCCTAGATTCCATATGCTAAATGGGATTGAGATCGTATATAATCAGGAGCAAGCTCCCAAGGAGGATAAGCTCTCAGAATGCAAAACTGTGTTTCCTGAGCAGGACTGTCCCCTAAGGAAGGTGCTCCTCATAATTATGGGTTGGCTTTTGTGCGTGGAGAAGAGAAGTTGCTAAAGAGAGAAACTCAATAGAAAGGGTTGTGGGGTATTTTTTTGAGGCTTTGCTTGTCTTGGTGTGGGGAGTATAATGGAAACTTGAGACAGGTATTTCCGCCAGATATGCTGGATCTTGATGTATGGAGAAAGAAGATGCTATAGAAGTAGCAAGAGAAACTCAGAATTGGCAAAGCATCCATCCAGTTTGACAAGACTAGTTCGAGCAGTCAGGTTTTGACTGGTTTGTGACCTGACTGTACACCAAAGTGACCACTGGTGGATTGGCTGGTAGAATCTAGTTTTAATAAAAAATAACTTGTAATACAGTTCTTTCAAGCAAATCTGAATCACTGGGAACTGCAAGACTGAAGTCCTCCTCCTGGGGCTTCACCAATTTAGTTAGCGCCTTGAAGCACTCGTTAAACTCTGGATATCATCTAATCAGTAGATGCCTGTGCTTGCTAGGTAATTGAAAGTTCATAATTTCTCCTTTCAAAAGCATATATATATGAAACTACCAAGATAGATGCTGTGAAACACAACTTGAAACCAACTGGGTGGGCACGTGAAGTGGAAGATGGAAACATGAGCTTCCAAATTGGGAGGATATACTGATATTCAAACCATGTGTTTGTCGGAAAATGAGCTGGCAACTCATAGGCAGTGGCTTGGTTAAGGGAACCCACTAGAGCCATGACAAAAGTGAGTTTTCATAGAGCAGTTAGCATTGTTTATGGACCTGAATTTGCGTGTTCTATCCAGGGCCAGGATGAAGCTTGCAGGAAACTAAGTGGATATCCGAAGTGACCGATTTTGGAAGTTTCAGGAGAGCCGTGGTTATGGTTGAAATGTCAATTGAACCTAGAGCCAGCTGGTTTTCTATAAATGAGTCAGGGACAACAGTTAACTGGACATCTTGTATAAAGCACTGTTTCCATGCAGGACATGAGCAGTACTTGTAGAAATGAGTACAAGCTATATTTTAGCATGAAAATAGGATAAAAAAATAGCCAGCAATCTGTCATGCGAAGCAATATTAAATGAAATAAAGAGAGAATGACAACATAGGTAGGAAGAAACTCGATAGGAAGAAACTCGACTTGTCAAGCTCAAGCAAAACCACCAGACGATGAATGATCCAACCTTCAATGACTATGGCCTTGGTTGCACGACCACATAAACCTTTCTATGCTCATGAACCCACTGAAAGTCGGGTATAAATCATGGCTGGTCTGCAACTCTGCATCAAGCACCTAGGATTTGCAAGCCTACGGTGTGCCTTTCTCTTCCTCTTTCTCCCTTTTATTTCCAGAATGAAGATAATTGGTTTACCCAAACTTGTCCCCAGAGGTATACAAAATAGAACTAGAACTTTCAGGGTTGAGAGCCGTGCCACCATGGATCACAAACACCATCACATGGGTGTGGATATAGTTTTCATACAACAGTACCTCCCCAAGCATGCATGCATTTGGTTTGAGGCATTCAAAACCTATTGACATATTGAGCAAACCATACTATTCTTTTATTTGTCCATGTTCAGAATAGAGTTTCCAACCGCATTGTGAAGTGATATGTGATATTTTCTGAAGTGTGAGCAACACCACATCCCACATGTACCAACAAAGTTGATTTTTCTTTGTTATGACTAAAATTCCATGGTAGTCCAAAATTTTAAGAAAAATGCCAAATATGTCCTCCCTTTTAAGACAATTTAACTCATGGAAAATATGTTGATAGAGCAAAATCGCCGACCAGGATTTGTGTAGATGACCCTAAGTAGTTGGGAAAAGGCTCCAATGATGATGATAAACTCACGAAAAATATGTCCCCCCTTTTGATATAATCTAACTTATGACGAGAATGCTTTCAAATTTATTTATTATGTGTTTTTTGTCAAGGATTGTTGTCCACTCGAATTATTCGTTGCATGCTTCGGTTGGGTTTCCAAGCTTTATATCTTTTAAACATATACATGAGCAAGTATACAGACCCTACACACCCATAACCATTCCTCAAAGGGATGGAGGCGCAATGAATGGTGTATCAAAGCTATTTTTTATAAGCATGGTTGTCAAGAGTCACATTGAACTCATGTCTAAAGGCACCCCTTGAGGACTAAGAGCCAAAGTGACGCAGGCCTTGTGTCTTTTCATCAATTGTCAAGGGTCCCTTCAGTGAAACTCCTTTGGGTGGACATGTTGTGACAAGTCAAAAACCATATCGAGGGTAAGGTCTTGTCTTCTTTAACTTTTTACTTGTCAATGGGGGAGAATACTAATGTGAACGCACAAACAAATGATTGAAGTTCACTTGGCCAAGAGTTCTACAAGTCTCTTTGAGGCCACGGTTTGGCATGCCCAACCACCTGATTTTATTTCTCCTCTAATTTCTTCTGATATGGCCAGGACTTCTCATGAAAGAACAGTAACATAAACTCTTTATCCTAAGGCCCCATTCTTACTTATTAATGAAAAACGGGTAGGGGCCCAAATCCCCACTAACTTACCCAACAAAAAAAACAACGATTGAAGCTAGAGGCTACAATGGTTGGCAATTTGGTGCCTTGATTGGGTAATTCTGCTAAACGTTGCCACAATCCCTCAAAGAGGGCCTGCCTCATTCAACCCATAGGGTTTCATGTACAAGCACTTTGGCCATGTCATCAGCATCATAGCCTTTTCCCAACTATTTGGAGTCGTGTACAACAATCCTGGTATGCCATTTTGCTCTATCAAGGGTCATACACTCAGTAAGACTATAAGTCCCTTTCTCTTTTCTCACTACTTCCAACCATGTCCTTTTGGACCTACCCCTTGCCCTTTTCGAGCCTTCCACTTGAAGCAACTCGCCCCTTCTAATAGGTGCATGTGGCCTATGAAATTTGCCCATTTTTTGTCTAGCCGCTGGGTCTAAATAGGATGCCTTAGATGGTTATTGTTTCTCTCTTTGGCATCCCCACAATTGGCATACACCTTTTCCTTGCATCCCCAATATTGGCTGTACATATAGCCATGCCTTATTAAGTTAGCATTGTGCACAGAATTTGAGGGTTAAGGTCTTGCAAGCCTCACCAAATGCCAACAAGTACTGAATTGATGCAAACCCTAACTCTAAATATAGATATGACCCCAAAGTTACATGGATCATGTCGGTCAGTAAGATGATGGGGATGAACTTCACAGTACCAGCTAAGAATCCTGACAACCATTTAGTGATAAAGGACGTAGGGTTGCAATGGCATGTCTACTAGTTTTTTGACTAATTAAGATATGATGTTTTATCCTCTTTTATAGTCACAAACATTGCATTCTGTACCTAAATATTTCCCAAATTCCTCGATTATCCTACCATCCTTCCTCTGAATTACGATCGCAATTTATAATTTCCATGAATGACAAACTCCTCCACCTTTACTATTTTCCTTAGAAAATTATCAAGCCTCCATGTGCATTCACTACTACCACTATCAAAGTAGGTCATATCTTTAAGAAATTATATCTGCACTACCATTACATCAAAAATGATTAAGAGCATATGTAGTACAAGCCCTTCTTATAAATAGCTTACCTACCGAAAAGGTCACCCTCTGTTTGAACAGAATAGGATCCATTTGTACTAAATAGTTTTTCTTTCGTTCCACTTGACCTCAGTTACATGCTCCTCTGCATGCTTTTGGCCTCATGAGGCTGCACACAAAACTAAAAAGACCATGTTAACATGGGGTGACTAGACAACACATCAGCTTTTTACCTTCCAAGCTAAAACCTCTTATTTGATCTTGTATGCAGGTGATTTGAATTTAATGTGTAGGCTCTACTCATTGTAGCAGGACTCACTTGAGTCCAGTTGGACTAAGCTATGTTGTGATGAGTTCCAAGGGCAACTTGCCAGG